AGCTCCTAGGAGACTTTTCTGTGTTTTTGTAACTTCAAGTACTTGAAATCTAATCACTTGGAAACCAGAGTTAGGTGGTTCTGTCCTCAACACCTGTTCCAGTCTATCTGTGCTGCAGTCTCAGTATTGGCCTGTGTGTTATTGTTCTTTTTAAAGATTCATCTATGTTTAATGAGTATAAAGCCAAGCACAGGACAGTCCTGAATTCAGCAGAAATATTCTATGGAATGCCTGTCTGGGCGTGGTGGCTCACGCCTGTTATCCCAGCACTTTGGGAGGCTGAGGCAGGCGGATCATGAGGTCAGGAGATTGAGACCATCCTGGCCAACACGGTGAAACCCCATCTCTACTAAAAATACAAAAATTAGTGGGGTGTGGTGGCAGGTGCCTGTAATCCCTGCTACTCAGGAGACTGAAGCAGGAAGATCACTTGAGTCCAGGAGGCGGAGGTCGCAATGAGCCGAGATCACTCCAATGCACTCCAGCCTGGGTGACAGAGCGAGATTTCGTCTCAAAAAAAGAAAAGAAAAGAAATACATACATATTCTGTGTAATTCCTATGGTGAGACTGAAGGGAAGGGGAGGAGGCTCTGGAATCGACCTTGGAGCATGTACAAACAGAACTTCTATAGCAAGCCCCCTGCGAGGACGATGTGCTTGGACAGCCTTGCACAGCCCCACATGGTGCCACTGCTGAGGGCGGGATGATGGTGCTGCAGTAGGGAGCCAGGTGCTCCGGGAGGAGGGCACAGGCAGGCTCATGGCCTTCCCGTGGCGTGACATTCCCGCCTTCAGTACATGTTTGCTCAGGTGATTGTGGAAATACTTACTGGGGGTGATCTCCATCAGTGAGCTGGATGGGAACTTGCAGTGGGGCAGGACTTGTCATCACGCTCTGTGGACAGCATTTCCCCTTACCCACAGTTTTACTTTTCAAGAGTTCAGTTACCTGTGGTCAATCAAGGTCCAAAAATATTCAATGGAAAATTCCAGAAATAAACAGTTGATAAGTTTGAAATAGCACACAGTTTTGAGTAGCATGATGAAATTTTGTGCCATCCCACACCCTCCTGCCTGGGACTAGAATTCTCCCCATGTCCACAGCTCATGTTCAAGTAACCAGTATGTCCACAGCTCATGTTCAGGTAGCCCTTATTTTACTTCATAATGTCCCCAAAGCCCAAGAGTAGTGATGCTGGCACTACAGATATGCCAGAGAAGCTGTCAAGTGCTCTTTTAAGTGAAAACGTAAAACTTCTCCACTTAATAAGGAAAGAAAAAAATTGTATGCTGAAGTTGCTGAGATCTATAGTAAAATGAATCTTCATGACACTGGGAAGGAAAAGGAAATTCATGCTAGTTTTGCTGTTGCACCTCAAACTGCCAATGTTACAGCCACAGTGAGTCAGGTTTGGTGCTGTCTGTGGTTGCGGGCATCCACTGGAGGTCTTGGAATGTGTCCCCTCTGATAAGAGAGCACTACGGCACTGCAGGCTGTCATGGTGTTTCAAGGATAAGGCGTGTGTGAAACTGCTGACACACAGCTGATTCCCTAGGCCATGCTTATTGGAACAGTTTACCTGCTCCCTGACCCAGAAGCTGGGGACACAGGCGGGATCCTCAACCTCCCCTTGCCTCACCAGCCCGTGCTGTGTAGCTGCTGTAGCATGTCACCACAGTGGCATCGACTGCCTGTCCCATTCCCTAAGCCACCAGTTCTTTTTCCTGGGGCTCCTCAGGCAGGGGTTCTCCATGCCTTGAGGACCATGAGAGGCTTGCAGTTGCAAGGGTCCAGGCTGCTGGGAGGGATTGAGAACCCTAGTGCACTGCGAGGCAGATGATGGGGAATGGGCGGGGCTGCAGCCAGATGTGAAGAACCTGTTATTCAGCAGCTTCTCAGGGGCTTGGGGGTTGGGGGCGGTGGTCAGGTTTGTCTGAAGCATCTTCTGGATGAGGGAGGTGTTCATGGGGTAGCTGTGCTTGGGAACCCTGTGTTCTTGAGCAGAGGCAGGTCTCTTAGACAAGGTCTCAAACAGTGGCTTGCCAACTAACAAGGTATGTGTGATGCACCCAAGGGACCACACATCCGCCTTGAAACTGTGCCCTTTCCCAGCACCCTGGGAGGTACGTAATCAGGAGTCCCACCCAAGGCCGCCTTCTGCCTCCTGTCATGTTCGACTTTGGTTGGCAGTCCAGATCCCCCTGTTTTCACCTCCAGGTCATGGTTCAGGAGGAGGGGATGCAGCTTGAGGTTCCTGTGTATAATCCAGTTTCAGGCAGGTGGCGGCAGCCACAGATGATGTACTGGAGCAGTAGTGCCCTCGGGCTGGTCAGTGCTCTCCTCGAGTGTGGCTCCACGAGAGGCCTGTGGTGGCAGAGCTCCAGCACTAGGAGCATGAAGCTGTCCTTGAAAAAGCCACAGACACCTAAGATGCGCTGGTGGGCGAGGCTGTAGGGAGTGGATGTCTCCAGGGGCGTCTCCTTCAGGTGCAGATTGAGCAGCAGTGACTTAGTTGCCATTTGCTTGAGAACACCTAGGTGTTTGCCTCCAAAATTTTGAAGCTCTTGGGAAAGGCACCCTTGCCAAAAAACCAGCCTGCACATAGTGCCGCTGGCAGGTTTACTAGGACCTTCAAGATCTCTGCAGAGTGGTGGCTGGGACCCCCAAGAACCACAGCTCCAGGGAGGCTTCCCTAGGGTTGGTTGGTGCCCGTGCCATCGGCTTTTCTTTAAAATAACATTTCATTGGAATAAAGATTAACCTTTCCATGGCATTGCAGAGGCTTCATTCTGTACGTGAAGCCCAAGTTTAGGAAGTTATTTTAGAACCTGAGTGGTGGGAAACCACCAATGGTAGGCCAGGATCCTGTAGCTCAGGCTTTCTTGGCAGCTCTGCAAGTCACTTTTCTCTCCCACACCCCAGCCTCCTCGGTGTATAGGCATTCTCTGGAACTGGTGGTGTTACTCTGTCCCCTGCTGTGGGGCGTCACTGTCACGTGATAGATGTTTGCAATCACTATTCTCCCCCAGTTTCCAATAAGAGGGCCATGTATTCAATGGCATGGTGACTAAAGGGCTGTTCAGAGAACCCCGACCAAGATTAATTTACCCGAAGTTGGAACAAAAGGACATCGTCAAGTTTAAGATCAAATGCTTTATGTGGTGGCAGAAGGGAGTGCCTCACTTTGAAGGTTTGCATATCCAAAGAGAGGTAAGGGTTCTCCAAAAGTTCAGAAAATCCTACGAGATCTGAGTTGGGAAAGGATTCAAGAATCCACCACCATGTGTTGAATCATATAGGAGTCAAACACTTTGTGTGTATGCTTTTTGTTTGTGTTTGAGACAAGTTCTTGCTTTGTTGCCCAGCCTGGAGTGTAGTGGCACAATCATGGCTCACTGCAGCCTCGATCTACTGGGCTCAGGAAATCCGCCCACTTCAGCCTCCCTAGTAGCTGGGACTACAGGTGCACACCACCACACCTGGCAAAAACAAAACACAACACAACTGTAGAGACATGTCTCTGTTGCCCAGATCACTCCTGGGATCAAGTGATCCTCCCACCACAGCCTCCCAAAGTGCTGAGATTACAGGCGTAAACCACGGTGCCAGGCCTTATGTGTGTCCTTCATTTAACCCTCATCCTTTAAGGTACATGTTAGTACTCCTATTATTTATTTATTTATGAGACGCGGTCTTGCTTTGTCGCCCAGGCGGGAGTGCAGTGGCATGATCTCGGCTCACTGCAACCTCCACCTCCCGGGTTCAAGCAATTCTACCAAAGCCTCCCAAGTAGCTAGGATTACAGGTGTCCGCCACCAAGCCTGGTTAACTCTTTTTGTATTTTTAGTAGAGTCGGGGTTTCACCATGTTGACCAGGCTGGTCTTGAACTTCTGACCTCAAGTGATCCGCCCACCACGGATCCAAATCCACCCAAAGTGTTGGGATTACAGGCGTTAGCCACCACACCAGGCTAGTTCCCCTATTTTTGGGATGAAGGAGGTGCGGTATAAAGAGGTTAAACAACTTGCTCAAAATTACCAACTAGAAGCCGGAGGTGGGATACGGTAATTTGTGATTCTACATTTATCCACTATATTAAGTCAGCTGCGTTAAATCACGCTGAAGGATGACGCGCTGTGATTTGTAATACTGGTGCAGTTCAGCATTACTGTGATGCATTGTTAAGTTTAAAAAAGACACAAAACCGTCTGATCTGCCTATAGCGCATCAGTACCTGAACACGCTTTCATTCCCTTGCTTGTGCCCTTACAAGTCCGGGCCGGTCCATTTACATTGAAAACAACCTGTGATCCTAGCATCTACGTCATCCAGACATCTTTTGGGCGGCAAGCTTTTCGGAGTTTAACACATTTATTCTCGTTTCTTCAAAAAGGGCAAACACGTGGCGTTACAAAGGTCCAAGGGTTCCCACGCACCGGTGCCCAGGCAGCGGCTGTGCGCTACGCGTCGCGAGGCCAGGTCCGTCGTCCAGCGGAGCCGGGGGTCAGGTCGGGCAGGCGAGATAGGGGATTTCGCCTGTTACTGACTGGACCCTTCGCCAGCCTAACGAGCCACCGCCCGGGTTAAGGGGCACCCAGGGCAGGTGCCCGGGCGGGGGTGCGGAAGCCCGGGCGGGGGTGCGGAGTCCGAGCCGCCGGTGCCAGGACGTGGATCCCTGCAGGCAGGGTCTGCGCGGGGAAACGAGCTATCCACGGATCCATGACAGTAGGCCCGCGGGGGCGGGGAGTCGGCGTCAGGTAGTCTTTCTAGATTATGGCCCAGCTCGGCTGCCTTCACGCCTGGGTTCATTTTCCGGCTTTAGCAGGGGGGGGTCCTAGAGTCACGCGCAACACAGGCCAGAGGTTCGAGCCGCGCGTTCTCGCAGTCGGGCAGCCCGCTGGCCACGCCCCTCTGCTTGGTTCCCGGCCCCGGGCTGCAAATGTCGCGAGACCTTCGTCTGTCTTCCCTGCGGAATCCCGCGGCCCTCGGCGTCCAGAGCGCGCACGCAGGCCACGGGAGCGCGGGACACGCAGGGCACGCCAGGTCGGCGGGGCCGACGCTCCCAGCTGTGGGCCTTCCTTGCCCGGTCGCCCAATCTCGCGAGAGTTGGGGGTAAACAGCCCCGAATGGAGAACCCAGGCGTGTTCGCCGCAGAGGCGTCGTTATTCCAGGCCCGCTGGCCCTGAGCTCCAGGCGGCGCAGGTACGTCAGCCGCCCGCGCGCGCAGCCTCTCCGACCTGCTCCCCTCCCCGCCTGCCCAGCCGCGGCGGCTGGCGGGCTCAGGTGTGCCGGCCCAGTCCGAGGCCCCGAGGCGAGGGCTGCGGGGTCGGGCCGGGCCGGACGGGGGAGGTGGGCGCTTGCTTGGACGCCGCGTGCCTGTCCCGCGGCCCTGCGGGGGTGTGCGCGCTCCGGCGGCTTGTTCCATTGCTTGGTTTTCTTCACGTGAAGTAAGCATTAACCGAGTTTCGACAGTACGCCCTGCTCTGGCCCCGAGCCTCTAAACAGATTGAGTTTTAGGTGCGCTTCCGGGGCAGTGCTGGCGTCAGGTTTAAAAGGCCTCGATTCTTGGCCTTATCTCGGTCTGTGTACATTGCGCTGCTGGCTTTTGGAAACGCAGGGATCCTGTTCTGCGAACTCTCAGAACAAGCTTGCCTTTTAAACCTGTAGCGTCTTAAAATCTTGCCTCGCCTTGGCATGGTTGAGCTGCCTAAGACCGCTGTAGATCGTCAATATGTTATGAAGATGTTTACCTTTCGCTTTGGGTCGAGCCCCTGAAAATGTTGGCTTATATAGTCTGCACAAATTAAGTTATTAGGTTCTGACTGACACTTCCAGATGACATGGAGGGGACTCAGACCTGAGCTGAATTCTAGAGACTGGTCCTTAAGTCTTAACTATGTAGAAAGCGTAATGTCAGGGTCTCAGTTTGTGTATGTACGAAGAGGAGGGCTGGCAGAAGAGAAGTCAGTCCTCCCAATTTTCTTTTCAATATGGAGAATGCTCTCTTCTTGTACTTATTTTTTAATGTAAGAGTTTCATTGAAGTAGAATTTACATACCATAAAATCCACCTGTTTTAAGTGCACTATTCAGTGGTTTTTAGTAAATTTACAGCTGCGCAGTCACCACCAAATCCACTTTTATAACATTTCCATCACCCCAAGACCTCTGGGGCGCATTGCAGTCAATACCTATTTTCAAACCACAGCACGGGCAACCTTTCATCTCCTTTTGTCTTTCTAGATTTGCCTTTAATGACTGTTTCATGTATTCAGATGGAAACATGTGGCCTTGTGTCAAGCCTCTTTCACTTAGCATGTTTTCGCAGTTCATGTAGCATGAATCAGGATTTCCTTGCTTTTATGGCCAAATATTCAGCTGTATGGCTATACCATATTTTGTTTAAGCATTCATGCAGAACACTTTCAGCAAATAAATTTTTTTTTTATATTCCAGTGTGTGATGTAGATGACAGCAAAACTGTTGACTGGACATGGGAGCTGGGACCTGAGCCAGACACTTGTCAAATGACTGTACTCCCCAGGCACTGTGTATAATCAAGAGTTGTTTCTTTCTATATAAAAAGGGAAAATTCCACTGTAGAGCTTGCAGAACCTTTGAAGCACCTAGGGTTGCAGTGAGATCTCTTCTGTCAGGAGGTTAACAACAACTCGGCATCCTGAGTCAGGCGTGGTGGCTCATGCCTGAAATCCCAGCACTTTGGGAGGCTCAAGTGACTGGATGACGAGATGAGGTGTTCAAGACCACTCTGGCCAACATGGTGAAACCCCATCTCTACTAAAAATACAAAAATTAGCGGGGAGCAATGTCAGGCGCCTGTAATCCCAGCTACTCTGGAGGCTGAGGCAGGAGATTTGCTTGAATGCAGGTGGCAGAGGTTGCAGTGAACTGAGAGCCACTGCACTGCAGCCTGGGCGTTAGAGTAAGACTCCATCTCATTAAAAAAAAAAAAACTAGGAGGACGGAAGGCTGAGGTGAACTGTACATTGCTCCCATCAGTGCTGCAGAAATCTGCTTGAGGAAACACATTTATTTTTATTTATTTATTTATTTATTTTGACATGGAATCTGACTCTGTTACCATACTTGAGTGCAGTGGCGTGATCTTGGCTCACTGCAGCCTCCACCTTCTGGTTCAAGTGATTCTCCTGCCCCAGCCTCCCAAGTAGCTCGGACTACAGGCGTGCGCCACCATGCACAGCTAATTTTTGTATTTTTATTAGAGACAGGGTTTTCAGCACGTTGGCCAGGATCGTCTCCTTCTCCTGACCTCGTGATCCGCCCACCGCAGCCTCCCAAAGTGCTGGGATTACAGGCGTCAGCCTCTGATCACTGCTGAGGAAACACGTTTAAGGTAAAGTAAGCAGGGTATGAAGTTTGTAGGTGCCCTATGTATGGCCAGCTAATACTGGGTGACTGAAGGGTAAGACTGAAAGTAGACAAGAGTGACATGACATGTATGAAATAGTAGACAGTGAAGACACCACAGACCAGTTTCTCACTCTTGACTGTATTGATATACTGGGATGAATTTTTTTAGTTCAAGACCACCTGATGGATAGAGTGTGCCAGAAGAAATGGTTGAATCAGGCCAAGAATACACCTTTGTTTTACCATGGTTTGGTCTGAGGTGGCTTCATTGTTAGCCTGTGAAACAATGGTAATACAGCCAAGTATGCAATTAGTTCTGAATGTGGTAGGTAGTTTTTCAGCCAACTGTTTTGTGGTCTCAACACAATTCAGTTTCCTCTGGAGCTGTTTTAGTAAGCTAGTTTATTACAAAGCAAGGCATAGCTGCATAATTAGATGATTATCTGGTGATAAAAGTCATTTCCTCTCACCTGAATTATGTTGTAATTATTTTTAAAGAGATAATTTCAGGTGTATTTGAGTTATGCCTGGAATTATGATCTTTGTGATGTTTTTTATTCTGCTAGTTGTGAGTAGGAGACCATAAGAGCTACAAAGAATGCTAGCCGTGAGCTAGGCCGGTTGCTTGCCCGGGTAATACATTTCTTCTGCTGAGTCTCCCTTCTACAGAAATCCCATTCAATCCTATTTCCTGTGTCTGTAATTTGAACTGTGTCTTTTTCAATTAGTATTTGATGCCAATTTCTTTTATTATACCTGTATTAGAGGTATAATCATACTCATGAAAAATCCATAGGTATAGAAATACCATCTTTTAAGGTTATGCCTTTATATGGGAAGTTAACCAGGTTTTCTCCATAAATAATTTGTAGAAATTAAAACCAGTAAACATGTAGTGGATCCAGTAACAGCCCTAAGTAGGCTCTCTAAGTTAAGTGATACTACAAATGATCATAGCCCTTCGGAATGACTTAGCCAAAAGGTTAATATTTTCAAAGTGTGTCTTAGGCTGAAAAGTAGCTGTCCACAGATATTTGAGAACAATTTGTAGGAGATAGATCCCTTTTAAGCTCTAGTATATGTATAAATAAAATGAAATCTAGCATATATTTGAATTTTTGTGCCACTGACTTAGCAGAAAGTATAATTTATTCTTTCTTTCCTTTTTTTTAGAGATGGAGTCTCGCTGTGTCTCCCAGGCTGGAGTGCAATGGCTTGATCTTAGGTCACTGCAACCTCTGCCTCCCAGGTTCAAGCGATTCTCCTACCTTAGCCTCCTGAGTAGCTGGGATTACAGGCGTGTGCCCCCATGCCCAGCTAATTTTTTTATTTTTAGTAGACATGGGGTTTTGCCATGTTGGCCAGGTTGGTCTTGAACTCCTGACCTCAAGTGATCTGCCTGGCTTGGCCTCCCACAGTGCTGGAATTACAGGTGTGAGGCACTGAGCCTGGCCTATTCTTTAAAATGTATTTGAAAAGGTTTCTTAAAATCCTTAAATAATATGTTTTATCTAAGTATAAAAGTAACACATGCTTCTTGTAAAAATATAAATAAGCTGGGCACGGTCGCTGACACCTGTAATCCCAGCACTTTGGGAGGCCGAGGCAGGTGGATCACTTGACATCAGGAGTTTGAGGCCAGCCTGGCCAACATAGTAAAACCCCATCTCTACTAAAAATACAAAAAATTAGCTGGGCATGGTGGGCAGGCACCATAAGCCCAGTGGGGAGGCTGAGGCAGGAAAATCTCTTGAACCCAGAAGGTGGAGATTGCAGTGAGCCGAGATTGTGCCATTGCACTCTAGTCTGGGCAACAAGAGTAAAATTCTGTCTCAAAAAAATAAATTAACTAACAAAATAAAATAAGAAAATAACTATCTGTAATCTTACAGTTGAAAGGTAGAACCACTGTAGCCATTTTGGTATGTGTCCTTCAGTGTTTGTTGTTGTTGTTTTCTTTTGAGACAGAGTGTTCGTTGCACAGGCTGGAATGCAGTGGCCCACTGCAACCACGCAGGCTGGAATGCAGTGGCCCACTGCAACCTCTGCCTCCTGGGTTCAAGGAATTCTTGTGCATCAACCTCCGGAGTAGCTGGATTACAAGCATATGCCACCATGCTCAGCTAATTTTTTGTATTTTTAGTAGATACAGGATTTTACTCTGTTGGCGAGGCTGGTCTTGAACTCCTGTCCTCAAGGGATCTGCCTGCCTTTGCCTCCCAAAGTGCTGGGATTACAGGCATGAGCCACTGCACCCAACCACGGTGGTGGTTGTTTTTTCCTTGCTCATAGACACATTTTAAGATGTAAAATAAAAATTTGGATTATTTGGTACATGAACTATCATGAGCATTTTCTCATATTTCTATTGCTGTTGTAACAGTTGACCACAAACAGTGGCCTAAAGCAACACGAATTTACTGTTTCACAGTTTTGGATGTCAGAAGTCCAGAGTTTGTCTCACTGAGCTAAAGTCAGAGTTTCAGTGGGGCTGTCTCCTTCAAGAGGTTCTGAGGAGAGAACCAGTTTCCTTTTGTTTTTCAGTTTCTACAGGCCACCTGTGTTCCTGGGCTTCCAACTTCTTCCTCAAATTATCTCAACCTCTTTGTTTCTTTCTTTTTTTTTTTTTTGCTTTTGAGATGCAGTCTCCCTCTGTTACCCAGGCTAGATTGCAGTGGTGTGATCCCGGCTTACTCCAACCTTTCCTTCCCGGTTTCAAGAGATTCTCCTGCCTGAGCCTCCTGAGTTGCCAGGATTACAGGCGCCTGCCACCATGCCTGGCTAATTTTGTATTTTTAGTAGAGATGGGGT